AGTCTGCGCGAATCCGCATTTGTGTTCAAATAAAAATTCGGCACATGTCTGCGACTGTCTGCGACTGCTTAACGATTTTATGTGAACCAGGCTTAAATGAATTTAAAGTCTTATTTTGGATATATGCACGCAATAACATGATACATAAAATGAAACAAATATCGCTGACTGTCAATGTTTTTATTTCTTAACAATTGACTTCAATGACGACTTGACTAATAAAGCAGTTATTAACAAAACTAAGGAACCCAACGCTATCTTTTGGGCATCTGTAATATGGCTTGTTTTACCAAGACCAATCACTTCCAAATAATAATTACAATAATTCTGACAGTTATTGCAGTACTTGAAATAGGTGCCAAACTTCCTCATGGTTGCAACTCCTTTCGCGAGCAACGTGGCAGTAGACGCCTTGAGATTTCCGTGTTTCACCAAATTCTTTTTATACTTTGCATCAATTTTTTTCGTCGCAGGATAAATTCTCTTTTTAATTACGCCATCTTCAACAGTCTCAGTGAAGCCGAGCTCGATGCTGAAGAAGTGCTGGTCATCTGGCGAGAGGACAATAGATTTGTGTGCACCGATAGTACTTCCTCGCAGCGAATAAACTGAATAACTCATCACTTCCTCGAAGTTTGAAGGTAGATGTCCTGCCGCTTTTAATTCTCGTAAATCATCAAAATAATTCTCAAGAAATGTTTCAGGCATTGGCTCAGGCATTGGCTCTGCAAATACATCGTTACCAGACGACGTCATTTTAGATTCTTTTGATTGTTTTCTTTTGATTTAAAATATGACTTTACCGACAGATATCACCGTCTTTGACTTTGCTTATCAAATTTATACTTTATCCACCAGTCTACGGTCGATCACAAATCGTTTTGTCAACTATAAAGATGCTTCAAATGTGCCCCAAACGAGCGACTCTAAGGACGCTTTGAATACTAAAGTGAAACAATACATGTTTACATTTTAAATTTCATTCAATGAGAATTTCCATAAAACTTCGCCAATACGTCATACTACGTAATTAGAAATTCTGATTTTGTTGTATTGTACACGTGCGCATATATTTTCAACAAGATGTTTTCGAAACAGGCTTGTGGCACGGATTGAGCCCAAAAATACAAGGAGAACTTCGACGTTCCTGCTATCTTCCTGACAAACGGCCTGCATTTCTTTAACTTTATAAAAGCACTTGAATCGGTGTTGAATTCCAGACCCAAAACAGGCACTATGCGTAATTTATTATTAATAATATTGATTTCAACTTGCTTTTTCGATAAAATAAAACGGAAAAATAACCTTGCCAACAATTTATATCGTAATTTTGGATTAATTATGATCATTGCTGATAGCCTGATGAATTTAAAAGCGTCCATGGCAACTGTTTAATATATAAAATATGAAAATTGCGACACCATGAAAATTTATGAAAATTGCTAAACAAAAGAGGTTCCGATCCGTTAGAGCGGTTTCGAATAATCCTCTTCCTGAATAAACGTTTGAAAATAATTCGTATCCTTCTCCTCCGGCCAACGATATTCCAAAAAATAACACCCGTAAACGTACGAATATAAGCCCTGCATGGGCTTATACATGGAAGGGCTTATATACGGGTAATATATGGACGACCTGTTGGTAATAATATTTATTACACCTGTAAACTATGCCGTGAACGAAAATAAATGCAGACCTATACATAAAACAAGCTTAAGTTGCATTGATTAACATATAATAATGTATTGCGAGTTCTGATTTCTTCGCGGAGGACAGGGAAGGATACGAAGGGACAGAAAAGCACAGTTAAAACATGGCCGCTCTAAATTAAAACAAGAGCCGGCTTCTTCTCGACTTTGCGAAGGAGAAAACTACACTTCAACAACATATTCCGAGATTTACGGCAGATCAATAATCCTAAAATCCAGATTTAATAATCAATGCTGCTATTCAAGCATAAATAATCCATATTACCATAATCCTAAATTTAGAGGTTACTTGAGCCATATATGCTCCATAGCCTATCGAAGGGAAGATGGCGTGAAACTATTAAGATTACGTTTATTCATAGAACGTTTATTCATAAATCTGGTCCTTCACCGTCACGCGTGTATTGTATTTTTGCCCAACTAGCCAATAGCAATGTTTTAGGAAAGTCGCCTATCCGGGACTCGAACAATAGAGAAACTGGACTAAATTGCTATTGGTGGATTTGGTAAAAATACAATACACACATGACTGTAAAGGACCAGAATTATGAATAAACGTTGACCAACGTAGATAATGAGTTATGTTGTTATTCTAATGAGTTCCACAGTCATCTTGAGCTGATTTTCAGGTAAATTATAAGAGCAATGTGACAGCGAACACGGAAATTAATTAAAAGTGAACACAAACTAAATTTGCAAAATTTGTGTTGCATTTTCGACTGGCTTCAGACCGGGATGAATGCGGAGCGGCATGAATGTAAACACAAATACATTTCAGAATTCAGACCGCGGTCTCGGCTGTGTTCTTGACCTCGGAACAATGCTTGCTCACAAAAGCGCCGGTCTTTTGTGAACATACTGAAAATTTCCATTTTAATCTTGGTTTTGACTTCGTCCCAGACTCCCAGTGCACTACGTGTATGTCCCCGTTTCCATCATGAGACTCAGGCCCCAGTTAAGGCTAGTTTCCACTCAGGAAAATTATCCGTGGATTGGAACGGACAAGAACATTTTTCTTTGTGTTAAAGTCATTAGGTCCATCAACCCAGAGCTCACAAGACAAAGAAAAATGTTCGTCTTGTCCGTTCCAATCCACGGATAATTTTCCTGAGTGGAAACTAGCCTTTACATGATACCGGATTCGCATCGGAGCGTCGTCAAATTTTACTGCTTCGAGGTGAATTTGGCACTTAAAATTATGATAATATAACATAATTAAACAAAAACTTCATATATGAAAAGTTGTAATAGCAGACAAGACTGGAAAACACCTTAAATTGATGTCGATACGAATCGTGTAACTGGGGCCTCAGTCTCGCGATGCAAACGGGAACATACACGCGCCGGGAACGCAATGAAATTTGTCGCCGTGTAACCTAGGCTTTAGCCCTCGCATCAAACTACTGCTCATCGGATTGCCCCTCCCCCTGGGGTATGATCTAAACTCATTGATATGAACATATCAAAATGATCTGACACCGATGCATCAGTGCATTACTGCAACCTGCACGAAGATGAATATTGAATACATTGAATGCTGGCTTTTGAAGAAGTTTGAATATATGAATATTGATAGCAGGATTATGAATATTTGAGGTAGGAATATGTATATTTAGCGTAGAACTATAATTATTTGAAACAAATATTCAACAAGTTTTAATTAAGAAATTTAGATTTTTTAAGGTACGAGTAAAACTTATATAGAGGTCCGAATATTAAATATTTAATAAGGAAAAATATTCCACTCCCAACAATATTCAAGATATGTTACCCAAAGTTTAGATCCTTTTGTAGTATGTGTCCCTCTCTAGCACATAAATCCTATAGTAGTATATGTCCCGCTCTAGGAACCAAACAAATTCAACTTGAAAACGGCGAAGAAAAGTTACAATTAGCCGTGACACGTTACACTATATATAATAATTTAGAATTTTTAAGGTAGGAATAAAACTTATATAGAGGTACGAATATTAAATATTCAAGAAGGAAAAATATTCCACTCCCGACAATATTCAAGATATGTTATCCAAAGTTTAGATCCTTTAGTAGTATGTGTCCCTCGCTAGGACATAAATCCTATAGTAATATATGTCCTGCTCTAGGAAACCAAACAATTCAACTTGAAAACGGCGAAGAAAAGTCACAATGCCGTGACACGTTACACTATACGTCGGAGCGAAATTGCTTGAAAACGTCACTTTTGCCGTAACAATTTGAGCACGGTTTCTAAACGGAGGGAAATGAAAACGGAATGGAAACGCTTGACGTCTTTGTGTGAACACAAACGCCATTATTTTTTTGTACCGCTTCTAAACCAAGCATTTCAGGTCTCAAAACAGTAAATTCGAATGCGTTTTTGTGTCACTGTGGTAGTCTTCAACAGTCAACACATATGACAAAAAATAAGATTTTTGAAGTCTTTTGCTTCCTCACACGAGCGTTTTGATTAATAGGGTCGCGTTAACGCAGCGGGTGGCCCGTGGCTTTTTTTTTCGCGCGGGGCACCTTTGGCTTTTTCTGCCTGCTCTACAACCCGAAAAAATTAACCTGTTTTAAACATATTCGGTAGCTTTTTTTGAAAGATGTAATCAGAGTAACGTATTTGACATTATAACATTTACTATTGGTCTGTCATTCTTCTTTAAATAAAGTTCAAAAGTAATTAATAATTCATGAGGAAAACACAAAGAAAAATCATAAGCGTGTCGTGCCCTTGATTTACATAAACTTTAACTTTGATTTTCTCAACTTACACAACGTATTCTTTGAAAATTACTTTGCCAATGAACTTACTAGATCGATCGTTTTTGAAGCAATTTAAAACATTCGCAGTGCGTGTTTTATCAGACCTAAAGATACTCGACTTCGCCTCGTATCTCTATATATCTGATAAAACACTGCTCCTCATGTTTTAAATAGTACTTTGAGAATAATACAGTAAATGATGCAGTGGAATGATCGCACATAAAGAAGAATTCGCACAAAGCAACCAGACAAAGCTCCAGTTTTAGTTGAATGTATTTACCACTCTGATGTGGACCTGTGAACGGAAAGCGCGGGATGCCTCACTCCGTAAGCGCTGCCCCAAATACACCGAAGCTTTGTTGGCTAGTAAATCAGCCAGTGGCATAGTGTAGTAGTAATGACGTGCGACTGCTACATTATCGGTTTTTTTTTCTTCATATTTTCAGTTCTATTTTTTCCCAGTCTAAAGGGCTCCTTGAAGGCTCGTGGCATATGCCACTTCTGCCCGCTGCGTTAACGCGGCCCTGGCTATGATGCCAAATGCTACCAAAATTATACTAATATTGTAGTCGGGTATTTGGCGTCGCAAAAACTACTGTTGATATATATATAATTGAAATGTCTGACGTGTATTTCACCATCTAATGCTTGACATGTTCTCTGAGAACGACCAACAACATTTAGATATTTCATTTAGCAATCATCATGCGTAAATTATAGTAGTAGTAATATTCTTAGATTTCGTTACTGAATTATAGTACTATTAGTTAACAAATTGATAATATTTATATAATTTATGAAATCAGTATTGTCAGTAATGAACATACATCATAGGTAATTTGTGGGGGGAGGGATTTATTCTCTTTTCGTAAATCATAGTGGTACACACCTCTTCTGGAAACCAGCATTAGTTGAAAAGATTAATGTGTTTTAAGTAAATTAAGTTGATCCATTCCATCGTAGAGTGGCAAGGTTGTATTCTTACGGGGTTTTTGACTAAAATACTCAGTTGTATTATTGCCTAAACGTTGAATTATTTTATATTTAGTGATATCATGATTTTCAACAAGGTTAAGACGCCATCGGCAGGCTGAAAACATCATGAGTGATCACGAGTTAGTTATCCTGTGTTCCTATGATTCATGGTTTCACTTGAATTATCACCACTGGTGAGGGATTTTTGGTGTAAGACCAGCCTTAAAAAGCCCCGTTGCTATAATTGAGGCGGTCTTTTGTCTCTTTTCGGTAATGTGTGTTTTATTTTGACACAGCTGCTCATTTTCAGGAAAATGGGGCACTTGACCAAATGTTGTAAAAGGTGTACCAATTCTCAAAATTTCGGCGCTGTGTGATACACGCTCGCAAACATGGAAAGCTGTTTGAAATTGCTGCCACGTAAAAGCTACAACACGTTTGATGTAGTATCTGTAACTTTGTTTGTATCCATTGGTGGTGTTGTGATTGGGTTCGCGAATGATATTGAGTCGAAAGCGACGTTGCAATGTTACCCAGACAAGAACCTCGCGAGCGATATATCGGCAAGGAAACTCGAAACAGAGTGTCTTCTTAAATATGAGCAGGAATTTTACCCTTCGTTGCCTATTTACGTCCTGCTTTTGATGAATTTTGGACTTGTGCTTGTACTCAGTGTTATCTATGCTTTTTTGGTGAAAGATCGTGTGGAAATCTTCGTAAACCATCCAAGTGCAACGACAAATGGCGCCGAAGACGAAAGCCAGTTGGGTATTTCACAAGCAGCATCAGACCCTATGGCGCATCAAAGATCTTGTCGTTGTTTTGTATTCGCGGTGTACGTCTCCCACGTGATTCTTTGTCGTATAATACTATTGGTCGTATTTGCAGCATTGCTCTTAGATTCGTCAAATTTTCCAGTCCAATTTCAGTGTCCTTGGCCAATGAAAACCACAAGTATGTCTCATGGAAACTTTACGACAAGACCAATTACAAACTTTTTAACTATCGATTGCAATTATCCCACAGGTAGCAAGAATGAAATAGTAGGTGTCATCAGTATAATAGTCAATTTTCTTTTTGGTACAGTGGCGTTGACCAGGCTTGCTTGTCTGATGTGGTCAACATGGAACGATCGTAACCTTTGTACTGACTTTGAATTTTGTTGTGTTTACCTTTTGGGAAAGCGTAAAACGATCAGAAAGTTTTTGAGAGAGATTAGGGAGAACATATCCAAGGACATATTTTATTTGCATGATGATTTTGGTGAGGAACGTTTCTCACGTCGAAAACTGGAAAATATGTATATCAATATCTTAATTCAAGAGGGAAGGGAAAGTACTTGGACTTCCAGAAGAATGTTTAAAAATAGGCATGAGTCATACGAAGCGCATTTAAAAGCACCAGTTGATACAACTATCCTGCAGGAAACAGCAGATATATTTAAACCAACTGGTTTTCGCAAAGACCATCCTAGAACTATTCTTATTGTGGGCAGGCCAGGCATTGGCAAAACTCTCCTGACCAAAATGTTATTTTATGAGTGGCAACAGCAAAAATCTGAATTCTGGCATGGTAAACTAGTAATTTTAATTCGATTTCGCAACTTTAACAAAGGGGAAACAAGTCTCCGAAAAATGTTACGCTGTTCTGATGGACACAATATGTCGTCAGCATTCAATTGTATCTATGAATACATTTGTTGGTTTCCAAGAAATGTCATCCTAATTTTTGATGGGTTGGACGAACTAAAAATAAATGACGAGACTTTAGCTGAAGAAAAGACTGTAAATAGTCACGATGAAGATGCGCATATACTCCTAATTTTTAAACAACTCGTGAAAGGCGAATTATTACCTGGAGTCACAGTGTTAACCACGTCTCGACCCACGGCAGAGTATATTTATCGGCAAGACCTAGAATTTGATAGAGAAGTTGAGATCTTAGGTTTTCACGAGGAACAAATTAAAAGCTATGTTGAAACATTTTGCCGTAATGACAAGCAGAATTTAAGTTCAGAGATTTGGAGCTTAATCGAAGAATCACCAGAGCTATTAAGCTTATGTTACATACCTGTTAATTCCTACATAGTGTGTTTAACATTAAAGGAAAGCATTGATGTTGATGAACAAGGTGCTGAAGGTCAAAGAAATGTCCCGAGAACAATTACAGAGTTGTACAAAAGGGCTATAAAGGTTTTACTGTTCAGGCACCATTTGAAATACAGGGGTAACCCACCCCCAAAGGGTTATTTTACCGAAAAGCTTCCTGAACCGCTTCAAATTGACTTGGACAATTAAATTGAAAGGAATTGCAAGAGATGGAATGAGAAAAGACCAGTTATTATTTGAGTTCAGAAATGATGATGAATTTGTGGCTGAGCGCATGGGAGACTGTGGATTATTCAATCAATTGGAAGACAAACGACAGAATATCTTCTGCTTTCTTCACCTTACAATTCAAGAATTTCTTGCAGCATTACATGTGGTTGATGATTTGGACAACGTTGGATCATTTTTATTTGAGCACATTAATAATCCTAGGTGGCATTTGGTTTGCCAGTTTGTTAGTGGGTTAATTGGAGACAAAATGAGAGAATTGGAAGAAAAAAGCAGAGTATCAAAAAGGTATGTTTAATTTTTTATTTTCCGCAAACAGCAGAAGAAAAGGGTGATTCCAGCCACTATAGTTGACATAAATGTACATGTGCTGTTGTAGACACAAACATTCCATGATTAAATCCAAAACATTTTTTCATTGTATTTATGTTTCTGTTCACACATGCGTTGAATGAGTTCGACAGGAAATAATCTCAGTCAAAGCTCAGATTGAACCTCCACTCATTGAGTGTGAATGTGAGTGAGCTTGTAGAATACGGGCGTTAAAGAATCCGTACGCCTACGCCAGGACCAAAAATCGCTAAAGTCGCCTTAAATTACTCTTACTCTACTCGTATTCTAAGAGCTCACTCACACTCAATGAGTGGAGGTTCAATCTGAGCTTCTCTTGAGTGTTAATGCTGTTTTTGAATAGCTGGAGGGCTAGTGTCATACCTTACTCGGTGACTACTCACCCTCCAGCTATTCAAAAACAGCACTGACACTCAAACGAAGCTCAGATTGAACCTCCACTCAGTGAGTGTGAGTGAGCTTTTAGAATACGGGCGTTAAGGCTGCATTCCAGTTACGCGTTTTTCATACGTGCGTACACGCACGTAAAAGTTGAATTCGCTTAAGTGCAATAAGTGCAAATAACCTTAACAAATACATATTAATCATACACAAAACTGAATGCTGTCCTTTTATAAATTTAGTTATTTCATAAGTAGGATGTAAAGCGAATTCAACTTTTACGTGCGTGTACGCACGTATGAAAAACGCGTAACTGGAATGCAGCCTTAATACACCCTTTCGATAATTACGTCACAACTACACTGTTTCCAACTTAGGACAACCTTAAATGGAAAGGATTTCAAGTTTTTTTCTCATGGGCTATGCACAGAGAAGCAGAACATCCTTCTTCAACACATGCATGAAAAAGAGTTCTTTATATTGACCAAAAAATGTGGAAATAAGCTTTAACACGAAAACGACGCTCCGCGAGCCTCGTTTTCGTGTTAAAGCTTATTTCATTTCAATCATTTCCGTTTAAGGTTGTCCTATAAAGTTGGAAACAGTGTAGTTGTGACGTAAATCGCTTAAAATCGTCTTTAATCGCAACTAATTTTTCCTCAAGACCCGGAGTAGACCTAATCTGTAATCTTATCTGCCAGCTTTTAACATTAATTCAGAGTAAAATCTGATATAGCAAACACTCTAGTTTTGTTATTTCGATTATTCTGGCTTACTTTCTTCCATCGTATATCATGTAGTAGTTTAAACGAGGCGGCAAACTGATATGATAATATCAAAACAGAATATGTCCGTAATTGTCAGTTTGCTCTAGTGAGTAATGTAACGATGTTTCTGATATTTATCTACTTTTTATTGCTTTAATATAGTCAAGAGGTTTTACATGAAGAAAGAGTTATAGATGGCATATGCAAGAGGTATGTTTGTCATGGGAAATTATGTTGATCGCAGTACGGAATGGGCCAGTTCAGATAAGAAATCTAATATTTATTATTTTGATGCATGCATGACAATTGGTGCTAATTTTTCGAAAGAAACTTTTGATAGCTCGCAACATTTCATTTTCTATTTCATTTTAATCTTAATTGGTCTAGATTTCAAGACTGGTTCCCAAAGCGTAGAACAATAGACTCCAGTGGTGACAACACTTTACTTGTGATAAAATGTGTACATGAAATGCAGGAAGTTCGTGTCATGGAATTCACTGCGTCATTTGCGTGTGAAGATGATGATAGTAAAAAACCTAAAGAATTTTGTTTGGAAAACTTAGGTATTGCGCCAGTGGAATCTACAGCTCTGTTCCAATTTCTAAGTTGCATTAAGAACCTGAACAAGCTTAGGATCTTTTATTGTAGAATGGAGCATTTTGCTTTTCGTAAACTGTCTCAGTTACTGATTAAAGATAACGAATTGACTGAATTAGCAATAAAGTGCTCATATATGACATATCAGCATGCTAAACATATTGCTGATGCGCTCAGGAGCGAAAACTGTAAACTGACCAAATTAGACATATCTAGAAATGTATTATTAACAGATGAAAGTACCAAATATTTAAGTGATGCTCTGCAGAGTAACGATTGCCAACTTACTAAATTAAACATGGCTTATAATACATTAAAACATGAAAGTGGTAAATATTTAAGTGATGCTCTGAAAAGTGAGGACTGCAAACTTACTGAATTATGGATAAATAATAATGAATTAGCAGATGAAGGTGTTAAATATTTAAGTGATGCTCTGAAGAGTAACAATTGCAAACTTACTAAATTAGGCATAGCTTATAATAAATTAACACATGAAAGTGGTAAATATTTAAGTGATGCTCTGAAGAGTGATAACTGCAAACTTACTGAATTATGGATAAATAATAATGAATTAACAGATGAAGGTGCTAAATATTTAAGTGATGCTCTGAAAAGTAACAATTGCAAACTTACTAAATTAGGCATAGCTTATAATAAATTAACGCGTGAAGGTGCTAAATTTTTAAGTGATGCTCTGAAGAGTGACAACTGCAAACTTATTGAATTATGGATAAATAATAATGAATTAACAGATGAAGGTGCTAAATATTTAAGTGATGCTCTGAAGAGTGACAACTGCAAACTCACTAATTTACCCATAAATTACAATAAATTAACAGATGAAGGTGCTAAATATTTAAGTGATGCTCTGAAGAGCGAGAACTGCGAACTTACTGAATTAGGTATAAATGACAATAAATTAACAAACGAAGGTGCTAAATATTTAAGTGATGCTCTGAAGAGTGACAACTGTAAACTCACTAAATTGTGGATAAGTAATAATGAATTAACACATGAAGGTGCTAAATATTTAAGTGATTCTCTGAAGAGTAGGGACTGTAAACTTACTGAACTAGGCATTAATAACAATAAATCAACAGATCAGGGTGCTAAATATTTAAGTGATGCTTTAAAGAGTGGGAACTGCCAACTCACTGAATTATGGATGAGTAATAATCAATTAACAGATAAAGGTGTTAAATATTTAAGTGATGCTCTGAAAAGTAGTAACTGTAAAGTTACTGAATTAAACATAGGTTCCAATGAATTAACAGGCGAAGGTGCTAAATATTTAAGTGATGCTCTGACGAGTGACAACTGCAAACTTACTGAATTAAACATAGGTTCCAATAAATTATCGGACGACGGTGCTAAATATTTAAGTGATGCTCTGACGAGTGACAACTGCAATCTTACTGTATTATGGATAAGTAATAATAAATTAACAGATGAAGGTGCTAAATATTTAAGTGATGCTCTGAAGAGTGAGAACTGCAAACTTACTGAAGTAGTAATAGGTAACAATGTTGAATTAACAAATGAAGGTGTTAAATATTTAAGTGATGCATTGAAGAATGAGAAATGTAGTCTTACTGATTTATGGATAGGACGCAATAAAATAAGCATAGAAGGCATGAGGTATTTAAGCCAACAGTACCCGAAGCAGGATTATCCCCACAGACGTACAAGAGGGAGAAAATTCGGGAAAATTTGTCCAACGTTTATACACATAGCCCGACCAAGACCAAACATTTTTCCGTCATAAACGTCCAAAATTCACGTCGACGTGGGGGGGGGGGGAGTATAGGCCGTCATGAAGGGTAAACCAGGAATAGATTCATTGGAATGATTGAATGAATGTATTACACTAAAATCAAGGCTGTCGGAAGTAAATCAATATTGGAGGAGCTCAAGAATAAATCTGAATTGCTTTCGCACTTTTCTACTGATTTCTTTTGTGTGTTTTGCATATACAAATGGAAATTATTGGGGGGGGGGGTTTGGCTTGCCCCCTGCTTCCGACAGCCTTGAAAATGTTACATATATTAAAAGCTTGAATAAATGTATATAGCTTTTTTAATTTAGAAATACATGGAATGACTGAATGGCCGTTAAATTCGAGGCCAGAGTTAAGTCTGAAATTTAGGCTGAACATATTGTTGTATTTAGAATACGTTGTGTATGCTCAGAGGTATATGCCTTAATCCTGGACAAAACATCTGCGACACTTCCAATTATTTAACAAAATTTCGTAATATTATGCCAATTTAGATAATACCTCGATCCCCCTTACCCCCACCATTCAATGTTGATTGCACTCCCAGAAAGCGGTTAAAACGTCCAACGTTGTTTTGAGGAGTGGAGGAGGGGGGGGGGATGAGTAAATTACTCCTGTCTAATAGTAAGAAAAGCCACAAGGAAAAGCTTTAATATAGTGTCGCAGATGCATGGTTTTGACCGGGATTGTAGTTCAATAATTTTATCATACAATGTTATACAGATTGATTGAAATATTAAACAGTGTTGTAAAAATCACCAAAAAAGTAATGAGTGAATGACAATTATATATACATACTTCTTGTAACAAGGTTGATGAGGCCAACAGACTCACAACAAGTTGTTCCAACAAGTCTGATATCGTCTGCACGTAACAAGTTGATGACAACAAGTTCGTAGCAACTTGTTACGATCGACCCAGCCCATATTAGTTTTGTTGGAACAACTTGCAGCAAATCTGTTACCGTCATCAACCTTGTATAACAACTTGTTCCAGACTTGTCACAACAACTGGGAACAAGCAGTGCGAACACATCCTGATATCGGCTTTACAATTTGTTTACAGATCTATAACAACTTGTGCAGGGCCTTTGCACACCTAAAAACGCACAAGTTGTAACAACCTTGCAGCCGACTTGTAGCAATGCTGTTCCAACAACTTGTCAACAGGATGTGTTCGCACTGCTTGTTCCCAGCTTGTTCACAAGTTGTCAACGGCTTGTTGACAACTTGCTAGAAGGTTTTTGAGCTCAACAGACTTGTTACAAGTCGTTCCAACAACTTGTTATCGTCCTGCAATTCAACAACTTGTTAACAAGTTGTGAGTGACAAATTTGCAGCAACTTGATAAAATAACAGCATTGTTACAACTTGTTGTCAGACATTTTTACATGTGTACACGCGTAAAAATCTCATATCTTGTAGCAAGTCTGCCAACAAGCTGTCAACAAGTTGTGTTCGCACTGCTTGTCCCAAGTTGTCAACAAATTTGGAACAAACTGTTAACAACTTGTAACAACCTTGTTGATATTATCAGACTTGTTGCAAGGGTTGTTCCAACAAGTCCGATACAGTCATGATATAACAATATTGTTACAACCTTGGGCCATCAACCTTGTAACATTCTTGTTATATCATGACTGTATCAGACTTGTTGGAACAACCTTGTAACAAGTCTGATAATGCTATCAAGCAGCTTGTTAAGCGAGATACAACCCGAGGGGCGTGTCCCGAAGAAAGATCCCGAGGGCCGTAGGCCCGAGGGATGCTTTCTGAGGGCAACGCTCCCGAGGGATGTATCTCGCTAAGAAACCGACGTTCGAGGTAATTAACTGACTTAGTTCAAATTTGTAAGGATTGAAAAACAATTAGTTCAAATTTGTAAGGATTGAAAAACAATTAAATCTACTTTTTTGTCGAAAATACTTGCATTGAATTAAGAGAATAACGATTGTTACCATGGGGTCCATATGAAAATGAGATTGAAACGTGAACTACCTATGTAGCGACGAAAAAAATGCTTCCAGGCAACCGGAATCAGATGAAAATGTAGGCTTATGGGAAGAGAATTTTTGCAAGCAAATGACGAACCATTGGGATTTGCAGTGCTCAAACTAGACAGAGATAAACAAAGAGTCTTGAAAAACGCGTATTGAGCGTATACCGAATATACTGTAGGCACAAGACACAACACCATCTGGGCAGTTCGATCGTATTTGGAAAGAGTGGGAAGCGCTATAACGAACAATATGTGTATGGGTTTGTCGAAGCAAAGATTCTAAATTTGTTTTCAATAGGGTTTTATTTGGGTAAGAATCTAAAAGCAAGTGGAGGGAATTTGACATCTCTATAGGGAAAAGGGGGGTTGATGAATAGAATTCAATTGAATTGATGATTAAATATTCACCAGGTTTTATCTAAGTATATAAACCCTGATTTTTGCGGGTATTATATATATATAACCCGCAAAAATCCGGGTTTTATACAGATAAAACCCGTGAATTTATAATTATTAATTCAATTCTATTCATCAACCCCACTTTTCCCTGGAGAGATATCAAATCCCTCCCCTTGCTTTAGGAATCTTACCCAAATAAAACCCGACTGAGAACAATAGAAATCCGCACAAATTTGAACTAAAAGTTGTTAACCGCTTGTTCCAATAGAGTTGTAGCAACTTGTTTGCAGACTTGTAACAACTCGTACGCACAAGTTGTTACAGGTCTGCAAGCAAGTTGTTACGAATCTGTTCACAAGCTGTCGACAAGTTGTGTTCGCACTGCTTGTTCCCAGTTGTTGTAACAAGTTTGAAACAAGCTGTTAACAACTTGTAACAAGCTTGATCGCATTATCAGACTTGTTACAAGGTTTGTATGTTTGTGATGTTACTCTGAGTGCATATCCACACCGGGCGAGCTTGAAAAATATGCCCGGCCACGGTGGGATTCGAACCTACGACCTTTGGAATACTAGCCCAATGCTCTTCCAACTGAGCAATGCTCTTCCAACTGAGCTTTTCAAGCTCGCCCGGTGTGGATATGCATGCACTCAGAGTAACATCACAAACATATTATTCACCTGAGTACACAACACCAGCACAGAAAAAATTCTTGTTACAAGGTTGTTCCAGCAAGTCTGATATAGTCATGATATAACAAGAATGTTACAAGGTTGACGACACAAGGTTCAAGGTTGTAACAATATTGTTACATCATGACTGTATCGGACTTGTTAGAACAACTTTGTAACAAGTCTGATAATATCAACAAAGTTGCTACAAATTGTTAACAGTTTGTTCCAAACTAAGGCCTGTTTACACTTGCAATTTTTGCTGCGATTTCTAATGCGATTTTCTCCTTCTGATGCATGTGAACGAGTAGAGGAGTCGCGAATGTTCGGAGTACATGTACAGCAATGTGAACATTCATGACTAAGTTGACTTATCTACTCGTTCACATCAAGCAGAAGAAGAAAATCGCACCTAAAATCGCAGCAAAATTTGCAAGTGTAAACGAGCCTTTACAACAACTGGGAACAAGCAGTGCGAACACAACTTGTCGACAGCTTGTGAACAGATTTATAACAACTTGTTTGCAGACTTGTAACAACTTGTCACTTGTGCGTTTTTATGTGCATACTCGGTGTACACGTAAATGTCTCACAACTTGTCAACAAGATGTGTTCCCATCAGGCCTGTAGCAAGCTTGTCAACAAGTTGTAACAATGTTGTTATTCCATCAAGTTGTTACAAGGTTGTCACTCATAACTTGTTCAATTGCAGGACGATAACAAGTTGTTGGAACAACTTGTAACAAGTCTGTTGAGCTCAACAACTTTGTAGTAAGTTGTCAGCAAGCCGTTGACAGCTTATCAACAAACTGGGAACATGCAGTGCGAACACATCCTGTTGACAAGTTGGTGGAAAAGCATTGCTACAGGTCTGTTGCAGGTTTGTTAACACACGTAAAAATGCACAAGTTGTTACAGGTCTGCAAACAAGTTGTTACAAATCTGTTCACAAGCTGTCGACAAGTTGTCCTCGCACTGTTTGTTCCCAGTTGTTGTAACAAGTTTGGAACAAGCTGTTAACAACTTGTAACAAGCTTGATGGCATTATCAGACTTGTTACAAGGTTGTTCTAACAAGTCTGAAGCAGTCATGATATAACAAGAATGTTACAAGGTTGACGACACAAGGTTGTAACAATACTGTTATATCATGACTGTATCGGACTTGTTGGAACAACCTTGTAACAAGCTAAGTCTGATAATATCAACAAGGTTGTTACAGGTTGTTAACAGCTTGTTCCGAACTTGTTGACAACTTGTGACAAGCAGTGCGAAGACAACTTGTTGACGGGTTGTTGACAAACTTGTTTTACCAGATGTGAGATTTTTGCGTGTGTAAACTCGACAGATGTAGATAAGTGCACGTGCGTGCACGTGTTATTACGATTTTTAGATGATTAGTATTCCGAAATGAGAATTTAAATTGGGCGTGCTGTGTCTATTATTGCGGAAAACCGCTGCCGCATACATACCGTGGACTCATTTCTCTTGGATTAAATTCTTTCTGTATTTTTCAACAAAAATTTCAATCTCATCATACGGACGTAATTTTTTTCAAGTTTATACATTCTATTTGCTTTCCATTAAGTTACTTACCACGACTGGTGCAAGAAACATTGGAAGGATGTTATAGTACAGGTTTGCACACTTTATTTAACATTACTGTTTACATTTTGGGCAATTAACGGTGTCAGTTGCCACGGAATTAAAGAACACCACAAAGGAATAGTGCTTAAATAACAGGAATCAAGGTAATTGAGCGGAAAAGATCTTGAAAATGTCGTCGAATAAGGACAATCGTATCATTATGAAGTATCCTCAGGTAAGAGCAAGGAAAAATCTAATTTAATAAGTTAATATTTTAAAAGATTTAATTATTTGTTTTATATACATTCATTCATGTTGCAAGAATCTGAAAATTTCAGAGAAAATTTCTGAAATTTTCACCACATTATGTGTTGGTCCAGTGTAGGTGGTGTTCAGCAGTGAGCTGCCATGGTTTGTGTCTGAAGTGCATACAAAGATGTTAGAAACGAATCATTTTGACATATCTAGCCGAGGGCTTTGTCAAGAGATTTATAGCGATGCAAAGGGCCTACACTTGTGGGCTCTCAAAGTTTGTCACTGATTACTTTAAAATATACTCTATGTGCAAATCCGTGTTGCAATTTTTACTTTACAAAATGACAGGGAATCGTAAAGATGAACTACTGTAACGTGATATGAAAACTTACAAATTAAACAAACGAGCAATGTTTTGCATGTCTAGTAATGGTGATATTTTACTCTTTCCTAAACTGCATTCTACTCAAAACTGCATGGTTGTTTTAGGTTTTCTTAATAATCATCCCTTTTCAAAATGAACTTCAGCTAATGCTGCCATGAGTCCTACACAACGTTAAGTTTTATGGCTAAAAATCAACCAGTGTGCATTCCACGCACTCCACGCCGGATATATCCAGCATGAGGTTACAAAATTGTTGGCGTAATGGTGTGAGATCACTCGAAAACAAGTGATTAGTTTGTGCCTGATTTCATGGCTACATGTAAATTGACAGTACATGCAGTACATAAATTAACTTAAAAACACACCATATGAGCTATTTTCAAAACATGAATTTAAGTTCCCAAAATTGAAAATCTCCAATGTATTGGCGTAAAGGTTCGTACATGTTGGCATATCTCTGGCATAAGTTTACATGGAATGCACCCTGGAAAATCAATCAAGTAAAAAATGGGGAAAATTGGAGACTAATTATTTTATCTGACACTGCCAAACATTGTCTTCCTAGTAAAATGATTCCTTTAACTATAGACAAACACCTACTCAGCTGACAACTGCTTATTTGAAATAATTCTAAATGCCCTGACTTGAAACATGTCATGTCTATTTTCTGTATTTAATTTTTTTTTCTTTTGTTGGGATTTGCTTAAAATGAAGTAATACACATATTGTGTGGGTCATTCCAGAAAACATCCCACACAGAGGACATTGGAAGTATCCCTTTAAGATGCCCTAGTACATTTTACTACTATCAGAAATACAGTAGATTTCCCCCCTACTCCTCCGGATGGCAGAAATATTCGCTGTAGGAATGACCCAATCGTGGCTTGACCATTAACCCATTGTGTGCCAGTACTCTGATGCTCTCCATTTGATGAGTAGGATCGTCTGGCGTTAGCAGTGGCGTGCTGGGTACTATTTTTCTGGGGGGGCCAGTAGGCTGTCAACAAATATGCGCCCCTATGTTTCGCTTGATAAACGAGGGCCAAAGGCACGAGCCGAGCGCCGCAGGTGCGAGGTTTGTCTAGGGGGGTCCGAGGGCATGCCCCCCAGGAAAATTTTTGAATTTAGAGTCTCTGAAATGCCATTTCCTGGACTTTGGGGGAAGATTTGACAGAAATCTGATGGTCAGGAAACGGCATCGTGTCGAAATTTGTAATTTGGTTTGAATTTAGTAGTAGTAGTAGTAGTAGTGGTACTTATATTATGCAATGCTAACAACTTCCAGCGATTAATCTACAGTAATCCCAATTCTATTCTCTACTGATCTAGTGATCTGAATACAATTACAACATACAGCTCTTTTATACAATAACACATGGACCCCACGCATATGCATTTTAAGGTTTCCCTGCCTGGCTGCCAAAAGGGCGCGTTTCAGAATTATTTCATTACTCACATTACTCATGATGTTTCTAGCGCAAACAACTAAATTGCGTACCCAACTTTACATTAATATCATAACCTTAAACTATCTAATTTGCGCCGCTCTTGTGATTCGTAATAAAGGGCAGTGAAGCATAATAAAGGGCATACATAATACCAGCAAAAAAGGGCATAATTCCTGTGATCGCTTCGAAACCTGACCAATATTCCGGTGATGAGACATTGCGTGTGATCACAGTTCATGTTTCTATATGAACGATTTTGTGTGTGTTGTGAAGTAGCAAATTAGCAAATACGGTTAGACAAAATAGTTTGTATAATTTAATATATCACTTTGTCGCCTATGCGCTTAGTCTGTTTTATAAGCCTATAAACACATCTTTTCTCGGAGGAAGTAAATATATTTTTTCGAATGCGTTTTTTCCAACCCACTTTCAAAACTTGGCGCGGGATCGGCGCTCCCTTTTCATTTTTGCGCCCTGCAAGAATTGCCAGCTGGGGGGGCTGTGGTCCCCCGGCCCCCCCTGCCAGCACGCCACTGGGCGTTAGACAGAGTATAATACTAAAGTAAGGCACATTGCTACTTAATGACTTAAAGGGTTAATATCTAGGGATCAATACAAGCATTTTAGTCGACTACTTTTTTTTCGGAAGTTCTAAGATTAAGTTTTCGAAGGAGACTGTTACCCCACTGTCACCGAAACCTTGACTTTGTCTCAATAAAATAACATTTGCCGCTTTCAGACAGCCCTTTTGAGCAAATATATAACCGTTTTAAAACAGGTTTTTATTGGCATGTTGAAGAATATACAACGATCAAGTACTTTCTTCCTTTTACAGTTAAATTAATTATTCACATTTGCCACAATATCTTCAAAGCATATTGTAAAAAAACCCATAAAATTTTATGGGAAAAAATTGAATTTCAAAACTCATTTGAAGATTGAGTCTTTACTGCCTTGCATGGGTAGTAGAAAAGTGCTGGGCATGTATTAATCGCTGAGTATTAATAGTTGGTTTTACCGTTTTAATATAGGTAACAAAAAAAGCAACTTAATTTACCATGAAAAATGTCTAATAATTTATAAATTTAAACCTATGCATGCTACATCTCAATTTGTAACTTTATCACAAAAAACAATGTGTAATGCGATATTTGATATTGGCTACGATATATTGGCCTGAATTATGTTATTTGTGTTGGAGTAATGCATTACTGTACATAACACCTGTAATGCAATATTTGATAAAAAAACCTATAATTCTGCAATATAAAAACAACGTGTAATGCAATATTTGATATTGGCTACGATATATTGGCCTGCATTATGTTATTTGTATTAGAGTAATCCATTATTACTGCAGATTCGGGAAGACTGATTATTGTGTGCATTACAACAGTAATACATTATGACATTTTCTAGGCAGCTTGATTGACGTTGTCAACAAATTCAACATTGCCATTCATGGCGGGAATGTTGCAGTTTACGAACAAGGAAAAGCATTATCGAGCGAAACCAGAAGAAGTATTATTGACAAAATAAGGCATGACTAAAACCACCGAAATTCAACAAATATTACGTTTTTTGGGCCGTAGGTTTGGGCAAATTTATGAATATCAGGGCCGTAGGAAGCTCTTTTCAATTGGCGGGGGGCTGAAAGCGAGGGCCAAAGGCCCAAGGAAATTTTAAAATTTAAAGTCTCTGAAATGCCATTTTCTGGACTTTGGGGAAGATTTGACGGAATTCTGATGGTCAGAAAACTGCGTTTTAGTATGTCGAAATTTACTATTTAGTAGTACTAAATGGGCGAAGGCATATTTAATTAACTATATATTGGATAAGTTGCTGGAAAGTATGGGTAATATCTTCATTCTTTGCAGTTTGTCATGGATTAAATGATAAAGGTCTGCATGATTTTGAAAAAAGAATTGGGGGGGGGGCTGCACCCCCAGCCCCTCGGTTGTTACGGCCCTGAACATGATGTTTTTCGCACAATACATATATAAACCACACCATCGCAATTTCAATCAACCTGCCCAGAAACATCATAATGCGACTGTTGCAACACACACAATAATTTAATGTGTTAAACAGTCTTCCCGAAGTCAAGTATGGGCCCTACTTCATTATTTTACTCTGCCTAAAGCCAGACAATTTTACTCCTCAAAAGAAGTGAGCTGTTCGCTCATTGGGTTACAGGTAATCTATGTGAAGCGTTCCTCTTTTGAGTTCTTAAGTTGATTGCAAAATTCCTCATTGCCTTTGCAAATTTGAAAAACTCCCATGCAAATCCCTTAAGGGAATTTGCAATGTTCCTAAAAGCCAATTAAATTTTCCTCAGTTCCTGTTAGAAGTTCTTAACTTCTTGTTACGAGTTTCTAACTTCTTGTTCTGTTCTGCGCGTTGTAATTGGCTAACAAAAATAATCCACCACCATGACTATGCTCAGAACAGAACAGAACAGAACAGAACAGAACAGAACAGAACAGAACCGTACAGTACAGTACAGTACAGTACAGTACAATACAGTACAGAACAGTACAGAACAGAACAGAACAGAACAGAACAATACAGAACAGAACAGAACAGAACAGAACAGAACCGTACAGTACAGTACAGTACAGTACAGTACAGTACAGTACAGAACAGAACAGAACAGAACAGAACAGAACAGAACAGAACAGAACAGAACAGAACAGAACAGAACAGAACAGAACAGAACAGAACAGCACAGCACAGCACAGAACAGCACAGAACAGAACAGAACAGAACAGAACAGAACAGAACAGAATAGAATAGAATAGAACAGGAAGTCAGGAAATTAAAATAGGAGTTACAAGGAAGTTTCTCTGCATTGGAATATTGCAAATTCCCTCAAGGGGTTTGCAAAGAGATTTTCAAATTTGCAAAGGTAATTAGGAAAATTCCAAATGAGTTCGGAATTCAAAAGAGGAACGCTTCACATAGTTTACCTGTAAGGAATTATTTTATATATATATCTTCATATTTCTTCTGCCACAGCCATACAACCAGGAGACAGTGGTTCGAAAACAGACAAATTTTAGTTTCAAGACAAGAGAAGCTGTGGAATCTGGAGAATTATTCGAAACTGTTGGGTAAGACCATAGTCTGTCAAGATATGATGGTCTGGAAGCCATCGGCAAAACTGCAAAGCCACAAAATAGAAGACCTTTGTTTGGCAGGGGCAAAACTAGCCCCTTTAAATTAGGGGGGTGTCTGGCAGAATTGCCCTGCCAAAACCAATGATGCCCTGCAGCCTGCAGTGCCAGCGCTAATACAATATATCACTAAGCTACATGTATAATTGAACTGCCAATGTACATGCATACGAACTGCTTATTGTTTGCTAGCTGTAATAAGTTACTTAATAATTCTACATTCTATCATTTAAAATTGCACTCATAATTCATTAAAATCATTTATTTTATTGGAAATTTGCCCTGCCAATCGGGATGATTCGTATTTTGGGTGGGTGTCACCCCCCCAATTTTGCCCCCTGCATTTTGGGTATGACTAAAAGGAGAGTTCAGATTTTGGATAGTTAAGTTTGAACCACACCCACTTTTCCCAATGACCACACCCAATTTCGTAACTCTCCCAATGATACACACCAGTTGGTAACAAGCTACTTTTTACTTTGGTAGTCCACAACGGAGTATTTCAAAACGTGATCAGCGTTAACTTTAAAATAATAATCAGACTCAGCTATGGCCTCGCTTAAGGATCATTTCCACTCAAGAAAATTTTCCGAAAATATCATTGTTAAAAGTTAAAAATTTTCAACTTCAAAATTTTTTTCCGACGGAAAATTTGTGTCTGCCAATCACATTTTACAAATTTTTCTTTCAGCGGAAAATTTTCCTGAGGTGGAAATGAGCCTTAATGCCTGTGGGCTAACAGTGTTCTGTAAAAACTACGCAGAATTCGAAGTTATGAAAACTATCTCGAGAATTACCCACTATTTAATTGACGTCAGGGTTTTTTTGTAAAGACGTCATATTGACGTCTTTGACCTTTCTCCAAAAGAACACATACATAACTTACTTTGCCACCGATGTAAGTTGCATGCAGTATGTATGCATCATACACAGGCTTTTAGTCAGAAGGGCGTCCTGGGACGCCCATAGAACAAACAATGGACGCTTTTGGACGCCCAAATTCTGGGGGAAAAGGTATATTATTTTCAACAATTTCCCTAAGTATATTAATATATCTGAGACGAAATAGCTTCAATTCTCATTATTATTATACATTTGACATTTTGATCAATTTGATAGTGTACCCGGCCGAATGAAAATGTTGTAGTTAAGTAAAGCAGCATAGCGGCACAAACTCGGTGCTCACAAAATTTCGAACGAGCTTGGAACAGATACTGATATGAAGTAACGTACGTAAACTTCAAAGGTTTTTCAGAGGAATGTTTTCTCGAACCCCCTTTACTGTACATGTATTGTTGTACCAAAATTGGACGCCCTCTTTTAGGACCCTGGTTAAAAGCCTGATTTTGCCTCAAAGCGGGGATAGCGCTCGTGTAGGGAGATAAGAAACTTTAAAAATCTTACAGTATGTCTTGTCACGTGTGTTGAAGATTATACCACAAACTGACACAATTAAACTCCCTAATGATAAAGAAAGGCAACGTATCTCGTGTTTTCCCTGGAATATATTGCATGGTTTGTATTTTTTCCCCATTCTTTATTATCAGGATGAAGGTTTGTAAGACGATAGTTATTGGTGATGTTGCTGTTGGGAAGACATCTTTGGTCAACAGGTAATCAGTTATCTCTCCAGGGGCCGGTTGTTCAAAGGTGGATGAGCGCTAACTCAGGGTTAAAATTTAACCCGCTGTTTTAGTTTGCATATTTCTGCATGTCCATTTATTTCAAAAAGTCAGAAGAGAAAACTCCTGTTGATCCAGACATGATTTGTGAAGAAATATTTCCAAATTTATAACCAAGCTGTTGGTTAGTTTACTTTGAATTTTAAGTTAACCTAGGGTTAAGCTAATCGGCTTTTGAACAACTGGCCCCAGGGCTTGAAGAAAATATTGAGGGAAAATCGAGTGGCGGATATAGTGTGATGGTGCAAGGGGGCGCGCACCCCACCTAGTAGTGTCTGGTACCACCTAGAGAAGTCCAGCACCACCATAAAAAATCTGCTTGACCATACATTTTCTGCTTTTCGAATAGCGATTAGAGGACATTCTGCTGTTAGCGTGTGTCGATTTCTTGAAACGATCTAGTTAATTTGTGAACTCACGAGAAAATACTCGGAATACTTTAGTTGAATATCATGGTTAAATACATAAACATGTCGAGGTTGTTATACAGCCATATTTTCAAATATACTGTACTTGAACAAGCAAATTTACTGTTCTGTGCTACAGCAACTGTCCAGTCGCGCATACGTGATAAAAAACCGATATGAACTTTATAAACATAAGATAATGTAAAACGGAACGGCGAACATGCAGATTCGGCCATCTCAAATAATGGTAATGTTGCGATAGTAGCGTTGCAGACTGCAGAGGAGAGTGGACAGTAAGGCTCCCTCATGCACCACCCCATGGAAAACCTGCACCCCTCCTTGCAGATGAGGCTAGATCTGCCCCTGGGAAAATCGTTTGCTATATGTCAATATTTTTTATAATTTGCACCATTTTTTTTTCAGATACTGCAAGAATGTTTTTGAGACGGACTACAAGGCGACAATTGGAGTTGATTTTCAAATGGAGATTTACAATATTTTAGGTCTACCTTTTAGTATGCAAATGTACGTATTCTTTAGATTACCCCATTGAGTGACAGCATAGTCGGACACAGGGACGTCGCTACCTGGGGGTGGGGGTGTAAAACCCCTCCCCCAATAATTCAAACGTTGGTCAAAGTTGGTCAAAATGGAACTGGTATTTGCTCAAAGTTGGTCAAACTGGAACTTATATTTGCTTAAAATTTAAGGTCAAAGTCGGTAAATTGTGGTGAAAAATTGGCAAGCCTTGCTTATTTTGGTCGAAAAATGTTTAAATATGCTTATATTAGTCCGGAAAATCCCCCCCCCCTCAACCCCCTGTCGACAACATTTCCGTGAAATTTTTTTACGACTTGGACAAAATTCTATTAAATGTTGGTCAAAACATGACGACCCCCAATGTTGATGCCTTAGCGACGTCCCTGATCGGACAGAAGTAATAGACCTCATTATCTATGTTTTTGTCTTGGTTTATGCAGAAATGATCAGTTCATCGTCACGTGTGTATTGTATTTTCGCCAGAGCAACTAATAGCTATGCTTTCATTTAACCATTGTGTACTATCACGACTGGGTAATTAAACCAACACACTTCTATTGGTCGAGTTTCCTAACCTTCTAATTCTATTTTCTATGGTGGCAGCACTCTCCCCTTGACGAGTAAAATCGTTTGGCGTTAGACCGAGTAAAATAATAAAGTTGAGCGCATTGCCACTGAGTTAAAGGGTTAAAAGTTGTTGTGAGTTTTGTGTGCAAAAACACTTTGTTTTGGCATAATTGTGTTGTTTACACCTGTTATAGCTTGCTAGTAAAAGAAAATGTTGCTGAAATTACTACTCAATTTTTTTTCTAGGTGGGATACTGCTGGTCAAGAACGATTTAAATGTATCGCATCGGCTTACTATAGAGGAGCCCACGGTACTGTTCATACTACTACGTTAACTGATATACATAACTTAATTCGCAACCTCGTATCCAGGGTCCTCCCGTGCGAAGGTAAGACCCTGCGTACGAAGTTGCTTAATTTAATGGACCATTCCCCCAATTAACCAAAATTTTGAACTCGCCAAGTCTTGACAAAAAATTCATCACAGCTTGAAAGAGCATCACAAAATTAGTAATATTCCAAAGTTTCGTTGCAAAATGTTGTAAAATGCGGATAATATAGCCTTGCGAAGTTTGCAATTTTCAGTCATTTTAGATTACAAACGGGAAATGGTTACCACTTCTGTGCGTAATACAAAATGACTGAAAATTACAAACTTCGCAAGGCTATATTATCCGCATTTTACAACATTTTGCAACGAAACTTTGGAATATTACTAATTTTGTGATGCTCTTTCAAGCTGTAATGAAATTTTTGTTTAGGCTAGTTAAGGTCAAAATTTTGGAAAAGTGGTATCTATTTCCCGTTTGTAATCTAAAATGACTGAAAATTGCAAATTTCGCAAGACTATATTGATTTATATTATCCGCATTTTACAACATTTCGCAACGAAACTTTGGAATATTACTAATTTTGTGATGCTCTTTCATGCTATGATGGTATTTTGTCTAGACTTGTTGAGATCAAAATTTTGGTTAATTGGGGAATGGTCCATTGGCTGGTGAAGGCACGCAGTCTTTGGGTGCCATCTAGTATTTAGTATGATTTGATCTAAGTACAACATCAAATCCTTAGGAGGTGCAAGATATGTGGTCATTTTAAATCGTTTTGTATTTTTTCATATTTAGTTATCGTGGTTGTTTTTGATCTCAGTGACATCAAATCATTAGAAGGTGCAAGGTATGCGATAATTTTTATTCATCCTAAATTAACAATACATCATTACCTTTCATTTTACATAATATGCTTCTGTACCAAATGTCAGATAGTCAGAGGCGTAACTAGATGCGATAATTGGGAGTGCATATTCATATATTCATGTTCACATACCGTAAAAACAATCCCTTTCTAAACAAATCAGTAAGGCAGAACACGAATATATGAATATGCCCCCCCCCCCACAATTATAGGCTTTCTCTTCTTGTAACATTTGATCAAATTGAGAATAGTTCTTACAGATTAGTCAGAATCTCTACGGCATAGCTGCAGAAGTTAGGCAGCCATAAAGCGACTACAGTATCTTCATAGACGATGGGGCTAACTCTAAATTAGAAATGTGTGCTTCCTGCACATCAATCAAATCTACAGTCATGCTCTAAGATAAACAGTTTTCAATTAATGATAAAGCTATTTAATGTGAACAATTTCTGTTCTTCTCCAGGCGGTGGCTTAATGAGGCAATAGCGGAAAATTCTAGTCATTCACCCGATATTTTTCTTGTCGGGTCAAAGAAAGATCTTTTGGTAAGAGAATTAGCTACTATATACACACGTAAAACGCTCTTGAAAGATAATGTTACAGGTCTGCAAACAAGTTGTTACAGGTCTGCCAAAAAGTTGTTACAAATTTGTTCACAAACTGTCGACAAGTTGTGTTCGCACTGCTTGTTCCCAGTTGTTGTAACAAGTTTGATGGCATTATCAGACTTGTTACAAGGTTGTTCTAACAAGTCTGATACAGTCGTGATATAACAAGAATGTTACAAGGTTGACGACACGAAGTTGTAACAATATTGTTATATCATGACTGTATCGTACTTCTTGGAACAACCTTGCAACAAGTCTGATAATGCCATCAAGCTTGTTACAGCTTGTTCCAAACAGCGAACACAACTTTTTAGCGGCGTGTTGGCAGACATCCTATACAAGTAAAAATGCACAAGTTGTTACAAGTCTGCAAACAAGTTGTTACAAATCTGTTCACAAGCTGTCGACAAGTTGTGTTCGCACAGCTACAAGCTTGTTGGCATCATCAGACTTGTGACAAGGTTGCTCTAACAAGAATGTTACAAGGTTGACGACGCAAGGCTGTAACAATATTGTTATATCATGACTGTATCGAACTTGTTGAAACAACCTTGTAACAAGCTTGATAATGCCATCACGCTTGTTCCAAGTTGTTAACAGCTTGTTACAAACTTGTTGACAACTTGGGACAAGCAGTGCGAACACAACTCGTTGACGGCTTGTTGACAGACTTCCTACAAGATGTGAAATTTTTACGCATGCATGTACAATTCGCCCTTCACGAAAATTGCTAGCAGTTGTTTTTTATTTCTTCCAAATTGCGTTCATGCGTGTTATAACGTATTTTCTAATATTTCAGAAACAAATTGATCTAGAGAAAATGGAAGAATATGCTGTGGATTTTGCTAAAGAATTTAATGCTGAGTATTGGAGTGTCTCCGCTAAATCAGGTTTCGTATATTTTGAATAATAACATCGACCTTCCATGAATCATGAATAATAAAAACACTAGACTTGACTACTTGCACACATAAAAATCTCACAACTTGTCAACAAAAGATGTGTTCGCAACAGGCTTGCAGCAAGCTTGTCAACAAGTTGTAACAATGTTGTTATTTTATCAAGTTGTACAAGGTTGTTACTCGCTTCTTGTTGACAAATTGTTGAATTATAGGACGATAAGAAGACAACCTTGTAGCAAGTTGTCAACAAGTCGTTGTCAACAAGGGAACAAGCGGTGTGAACACATCCTGTTGACAAGTTGGAACAGCATAATTGCTACAAGTCTGAATTCTTTATTTAGGGGAAAACGTTGATTTGTTATTTATACGCACGGCAAGCCTAGCGTTCGACCAAGCAATATTGAGAGAATACGAAGATATACAGAATATTGGAAGTGGTAAAAAACAACAGATTGGAAACACAGTTATAAGTAAGATTACAAGTCATACCAGGGGGGTGGGTCTACCGTGGGGGTGTAGGGGGCGTGCACCCCACCTAGTAGTGTCTAGCACACCTCCCTAGAGAAGCCAGCACCACCCTAAAAAAATCTGCTTGACCATACATTTTCTGCTTTTCAAATAGCGATTAGCGGAACTTCTACTGTTAGCGCGTGTCGATTTCTTGAAACGATTTAATTGGTTTGTGAGCTCACGAGAAAATACTCAGAATGCTTTAGTTAAATATCATGGTTAAATATGTAAACGTATCGAGGTTGTTATACAGCTATGTTTTCAAATATACTGTAGTTTAACAAGCAAATTTACTGTGCTGTGCTTACGAACTGTCCAGTCACGCATGCGTGGTAAAAAGCCGATATAAACTTTATAAACAAAAGATAATGTAAAACGTAACAGAACGGCGAACATGCAGATTGGGCCATCTCAAATAATGGTAATGTTGGGATAGTAGCGTTGCAGACTGCAGAGGAGAGTGGGCAGTAAGGCTCCCTCATGCACCACCCCATGGAAAACCTGCACCCCTTCTTGCAGATGAGGCTAGATCTATCCCTGAGGCTAGATCTATCCCTGCTTATTCATCTTTTGTTATTTTAGAACTTAATAACAATCCCCCTAACCGAGAAGCTTCAAAAAAGAAGGGTTGCTGCTGAGTGGAAAAATTTATGAAAAAACACAGTAAAAATCTTTTGCCTGGTTTAGACACCGTACTTTTCATGAGCCGAACTTAATTAAGAGGCAATGGTTTTCAATGTTGCAGTGTATTTGCGATGAAAAGTATTCGAAACCTAAAATCTTTTTGGCAATACTCTCAAAATTACTTTGTTTTAACTTTATTTTGTAGTTTACACAGTTAGCAACCTTTTTAAATGTATCTGGCGGTTGAGAAACACAAAATAATAGTTGAATATTGTCAATTTAAATACAATTATCATTGATGTTGTAAAATTGACGCCATATTTATACAGCAACGTAAGCAAAACTTACTGAACTTCAGATATCATTTTCTCTTTGGCGTATCATCTAAAACCTCTTATTTTAGCATAATTTTACAGATAAAGCACTAAACATACTTTTTAAGTTTTGTTTGCCGATTGAGAAACGTATCGAAAAATAAAAATTTTCAATTTAGTCATAACCTCAAGTGGAATATTATACGCATTAGTTTTGAGCGCGTGTTACGTAACATACAAAAAAATCTCCTCTTAATGAGTTTGAGATTTAAAATTAAATATACGCGCTTATTTTGGTTGACTAAAATACGAATTAAGATCTGCTCATGAAACATACGGTGTCTAAACTGGGGCAGCAAAAAGTACAAGTATATTTTTATATACGCTTGCAAAATAATGTGAAGAATTATTAGGATAAGGTGGTTTGATACAGGGGATAGACGAAAGAGTGATTTTCAAGATGGCGGCTATTTTTCAAGATCGTTAAAACGTGAAAGAATCAAATCAACAAACGAACATGTTTTCCTTGACAAGTCTTGTTGCTGGTGTGCTTTTTGTTTAGAAATATTTCTTGTACATGCACTTGTCAAGTTCGTCTTGGCGGCCGTACACGCAATGAAATTTTCCTTGTCCAAAACCTGGCAAGACTAGCTTTAAATTGGAACAGGGGTCCTTTGCAAGGGAAAATTTGGACCAGCTTTGAAAGAACAATTTCCTTGACAAAGAAAACTTGTCAGTGTTTTGCATAGATATCTTATATACACTAGATAGCGCATCTCTTTAAGTAAAATTGAAGCCAAGAATATTCCAGCGGTTACCCCCATTTGAATAGATGGCGGCCATGTTGGAGTTTCCCACTCGCTAATAAACGCTTAAAAAAACAACAATAACTTTCATCATTTGAACAGTTTGAAAATGTATTTGGAATAGGTTTAACTTACTGTTTAAGTTCCCTGTTTAAGAAATAGAAAACATACGAGTCTTCTCATTTCATGGGAATATCCTGAGTTTGCAATCACGGCTTCAATTTTTGAATTGCAGAATAATTAGATGCACTATCTAGTGTATATAAGATATCTATGATGTTTTGCCGTACACGCGAGCAAATAAAAATTTTCAAGGAAAACATGTTAAAGAATACTACACAATAAATCGCTTGATAGTAGAGCTGTGCGGTTAACCGAAAAATTCTGTTCTCCCGGTACTTTTTTCAGCACCGAAAAATTATACACAAAAGAACCGGTAGTTTCGGTTTTAATTTCCCGTTTAACGCCCGCCAAACGCCCACCTGATTGCAGGTTGAAATGTTTGGAAAATAACAAGATTGTGCTTTTTGTGCACAATACGCACTGTACTATAAGTGCTCGAATAGTTGATATTTTAGTTGTGATAGTTATTGTTGTGAACTTGCTTTAATTTTTTTTAAAAGCTAAGAAATATTTCATCTTCATAAATAGATTCCAATTGTTTTTTTAAAATATTCAGAGATTTATAAAAACTTACAAAGGCATAAATTCATCTATTTAGTAAAAATGCTCGAAACATACATAAATGAGTTCATACATTTGTACTGTTCTTCTTTTTTGAAAATAACCGAAACCGAACCGAGGTTTTTTTGTTCCAAAAAACCCGGAACGAGATAAAATTTTTGCAACCGCACAGCTCTAGTTGATAGCATGGTCAGACAAACTTTATACGTATTTTTAAGCGTAAATGCATTCTTAAGTGAATACACATACTTGCTGGGCTGTCTGTACTAAATCTTCCTTCCGTCCAACCCTTTTAGCAAAAACCCTAAGGATAATAGCATTATTCATTGTGTATGAATTGTAGTTAGTCTAGATAGACTTAAGTTATAAATTGAATTTCAATGTATTGAATTATTTAATAAGGTATGCGGTTCAAAGGTATTTAGTTCGTAAATTCTAAGTCATATAATTATAAATTTCGAAAATAATAAAGAATTAAAATATATTTTGAAAAAATGTTTGGGTATTTACTCGGCTGGCTTTGGCAGATTTGGTTAATTTTGGATAAGCATTTGGTAAGTACGGCAAAGCATATACAAGATATTCTCTGGGATATTCTTTGATATCAACCTCGCAAGCCAGGGTCTTTTACTTCCGCACGGCGCTACAGCAAAGACCCTGGTTCCCTCTGGTCACGTTAACTCCCATCCTCGGTCCCAGGGCCCTGGGACCGAGGATGGTGAACTCCTAAAAATTAGGGCAACAAGAGGTCCTACGGGAGGGTGGTTGAAATGTGATATGTTGTAATTTACAACTTCCGGTTAAATGTTGTGTTCAGCAAGGCCCGCCGAGGAGTGACTGTAAAGCTATGAGAAGTGACTTCAACTGTAATATGCAAAAACATTCAAAATGTATTATTTTTCTTATTTGTCTTATTTGTCTGCAGTTTTCTATTATAAATATTTTGTATGCAAACACTATTTTGAAGCCAAAGCAGGTTATTTGCTTGGAAAAGCTGTCCTTTGGCGT